GGCCTTCCATAACGGGTTGATTCCTGCTCCGCGCCTCAGCAGCATCTTGCCAAAAGCCCTCGTCATCCTCTTCGTAGGCCGGGTCGTAGGAGCGATCCACAGCAGAGTCTCCGTAGAAGTATCCGATACCTCCAATCAAGTTGGAGAAAAGTGACTTGGAGAACTCCTCGTAGCGCTCCTTGATAAAAGGAGGCTGAGGCTCAAAGATCTCAGTGAAGCGTGAAGAAAAGGTCGAAGTGACAGATCCAATCTGTTCTGTCAAGTCCTCGGAAGTGATCTTGGTAGGCGCAGAACCAGACGAGAAGATGATGTCGAACTCGAATGGGCCTTCAAAGACCTTCTGCACCACGTGCATGTTTCCAGTACTAGGCTGATGCTGGATGGTGTAGACTTGGGCTGGCGGAGGCGGGTCATTCTCGTCGTACTTGAGAACAAGCTGATCGATCTGTCCCTTTATATGCTTGAAGATCAAGGCTTTCGTCTGCCACAAGACATTCTCGGGGACGGATCCACTGTGCACCAGTGTCAGATCAAGTGGTTTGTCATGCTCACTTGGGTGGCCGCTATGCGGGTGACGGCCTTGGCCCTCTGTGACCTTGACCTCGAATGTGCCCAAATCAGGCGTCTCGCCCTTGATGAAGACGTCGCCCGAGACGCCAAGTTCGCCCTCAGCTGCTGTGCCTGCATCCAACATGCCAACACCCTCAAGCGTATTGTACCAAAAGACCGTTGTCCGCTGCTGAGGATCCGCATCCTCTCGCAACGTACCCCTGATCCTAGCTCCCCAACTCCCTCCATGTTCACCACCAGGAAACTTGATAAACTCGGTAGTGATGTCTATCCGATTCGCTGGGTCGTGGATCGTCTGGCGTCCACCACTGCGCACATCGTACTCATCCCAGCCATAGCCATCCAGCTCATGCTGTTCACATTCATGTCGGAAAGCTGAAATCGTCAGATTTTTGAATTAGTTTCTTGTATCCTGCAAGTGTAGTTATTGTGCCAACAAAGTAGCTCCTTCACCCCGGCCGTCGTCCCCCACCCACACCCTCTCCCAAATAGAGTTGAACAGTCCAAACTTA